GGTAAAATGAGGGCCCAGATTGTTGGAGGCAAGAGGCTGACTGTGTAAAACCGCTTAGAGAGGGCTGTAAAAGCACTGTTGAAGCGGAATATAAGTGCTATAAGAGGGGTGGTTATTTAAGTCTCTTTTTTGGGATAAACAAAAAACCTGAATTGAATCGGATATTTTATTTGGCCAAGTTGTGATTACACCCACAAGGAATTTGTCTCAGAAGAACTCAGCATACATGCAAAAAAAGAGGAGGAGGTGGAGGTGGAGGAAGAGGTGGAAGAGGAAGGAGTCAAGGTGGAGAACATATCTAGCACACCTACTTCCTCTTATTTTCCCCACAACAGCAATCCTGTGAGGTGGGATGGGTTGGCAAAGAGTGATAGGCCCAGCCAGCTTTCATTTGTAAGGCAGGACTATAACTCACCATCTCCTGGTGATTGGCCCAAAGTCACCTAGCTGGCTTTCATTCCTAAGGCAGGACTAGAACTCACTGTCTCCTGGTGACTGGCCCAAAGACACCCAGCCGGCTTCCTTTCCTAAGGCAGAGCTAGAACTCACCATCTCCTGGTGATTGGCCCAAAGACACCCAGCCGGCTTTGATTCCTAAGGCAGGACTAGAACTCACCATCCCCTGGTAACTGGCCCAAAGTCAGCCAGCCGGCTTTCATGCCTAAGGCAGGACTAGAACTCACTGTCTCCTTGTTTTTAGCCTGGTGCCTTAACCACTACTAAATCAAGCTGGCTCATTCATGGATCAAGAGATGCCAGCAGATAAGTCATCAACAGACTCTTTTAAGAAGAAGAAAAAAGACACCCCCACCCCTCCCAAAAGAGCAGGACCATAAGATTCAAAACTTGGCATCTTTGTGCCACTCAAATGCGTTCATTTAAAACCTGGGGGTTTTTTTCTCTCTCTCTCTCCCCTCACCTCCTTTGCCTGATCCCAGACCACTTTCTCCATCGGGTTGGGCTCCATCGGCGGCAGAGTAAACTTGAAGTAGGGACGCAGGTTCTTGTAGACGTAGATGTACGGCCCAGAAGCCACAGCCAGGGCTGGCATGCGTGGCTCGTGTAGCTCCATCAGAAAGGAAACCACGCTCGTGGGTAAATCCGGCAGGGTGTTTTCACTCAAGACAGTAGTACCCTGGTAGACCTTCAACTTCATCTCGTGGCCCGTCGAGCCAAAATTGCCCACCACTAACTGCAGCAGAGAGAGAGAGAGAGAGAGAGAGAGAGAGAGAGAGAGAGAGAGAGAGAGAGAGAGAGAGAGAGAGAGAGAGAGAGAGAGAGAGAGAGAGAGAGAACAAATATAACATGATTGGCTTCTTTAAATCATCACCAAGGTGGATACAAATTGTCCTCCACTTATGACGAGTTGCTTAGCGACTGTTCAAAATTACAACAGACTGAAAAAAATATACTATATATTCAGGTCATCTTTGATTTCCAATCGTTTGTTTAGCGCCCACTAAGCGCTAAAAAGGAGTTGTGGATTTATATCCTGGATGGAAATGGGAAACGTTGGCTAGGGATTTTCTATCTATGATAGGGATATTTTCTTTTACCTTGTGGTCTCCATCCCCATGCAGGTCAGCCAGAGCTAGAAGAAAATTAACAGTCAATGAGAGGACAATTGTATATAAGCTTATCAAAGCCTACCAAGAGCAGACAGAGGGAATCCTGGAATATGTTCTAGAGCTGAAAGTTGAACTGCAAAGTCTCTGGTGCCCTCTGAAGTTAGTTCTTTCCTTGCAGACGTTTTATTATCCAAGTAGGTAACATCATCAGCACAAATGAGTGTGGGGTTCTTATCACTCTCTCTTTTCTTTTTGCTTTCTTTTCCATTCAGGTCTATTATTTTCTGTTCTATTCTGTTTCCCATTCTATTCTACGTTCCATTCCATTCCATTTTATTATCCCGCCTTTTATGTATATTTAAAACTCAGGGCAGCAAGCATGTTTAATACTCTTTCATTTTCCTATTTTCCCCACAACAACCCTGTGAGGTTGATTGGGCTATGAGACAGAGACTGGCCCAAAGACACCCAGCTGGCTTTCATGCCTAAGGCAGGATGAGTTTTAAAACTCGCTGTTTCCTGATTTCTAAGCCAGGACCACCACCATGACACTAAAAATAGCTTGCATTGCCAGTTTAGATACGTAGGGATGGAAGGGACCACGGAGGTCATTTAGTCCAACCCCTTATTCAAGCCATTCTGAATAGTCGAGTCTCTTCTTGAAAACCTCCAATGTTGGAGCACCCACCATGACTTCTAGAGTTCACTCCACCCCTCCCCAAAAAATGGAAAGAAGAGGGGGAAAAAGGATCTCAAACTTACTGACACACGAGGAAAAGGTGTGCAAATTGGCAACTGGATCGTAGTAGGCATCCAGCCATTTGGAACTGGTGCGAACACTGCTGGCAACCACAGAAAAAAAAAAATGAAAAGCAAAAAAAAAGTTATATTTTAACATGGCAGATCAGTGTTTCACAACCTTGGTAGCTTGACGACGGGTGGACTTCCTTTCCCAGAATCCCCCAGCCAGCATGCTTTAAGATAGGAAGACTTCAATTGCTGGCTGGGGGATTCTGGGAAAGGAAGTCCACCCGTCTTAAAGCATGCTGGCTGGGGAATTATGGGAGTTGAAGTCCACGCATCTTAAAACATGCTGGTTGTAGTCCACCCATATTAAAGCAAGCTGGCTGGGGGATTCTGGGAGTTGTAGTCCACCCATATTAAAGCAAGCTGGCTGGGGAATTATGGGAGTTGTAGTCCACCCATCTTAAAACATGCTGGCTGGGAATTATGGGAGTTGTAATCCACCCATTTTAATACATGCTGTCTGGGAATTATGGGAGTTGTAATCCACCCATCTTAAAACATGCTGGCTGGGGAATTCTGGGAGTTGTAGTCCACCCATCTTCAAGTTGCCAAGGTTGAGAAACACGATGGTAGTTTTAATGCAGAGCTAAATTCTCAAGGAGCCTCCTTTCCATACAAATGGAATCCCCCAGCCCCTAAAAGCGGACCCAGAAGGGGGAAAATGAGTGAGAATTGGCTCCTTTTCTCATCCCCCTCACAACATTTTTCTGCCCTGAAGGGCTGTGCTCGCTATAATCCCTGATTGGATGCCGTTGTTTCCCGGGCGTTTGTTTACCCGTCGCCGGCGCCTCCAGAAGACGCAGCCATCGCCATGGCCCTGGAAGCCTTCCCTGCTAGGCCGCGAAGCCCGTTGCCATGGAAACCTCACGACGGGCAATGGGTGCAACGCGAAAAGAAGTCCCCGCCTGCGAAAGCCCGTTGCTATGGGAAACCCCAACGGCGCGCAATGGGCGCATCGCGAAAATGAGTCCTCCCCTCAACAGGCTCATAAACTTCCGAAAAGTTAAGAGTGACCCGCACCGGGAAGCTTCCGAGACCGACTTCACATTTTCCTTTTGTCTTGTCTGCCAGCTTTTGAAATAAGGCAGCGCTCTCCAAACAACTTGTGGACTTCAATTCCCAGAATTCCTCAGCCAGTTATGCTAACTGGGGAATTCTGGAGTTGAAGTCCACAAGTCTTAAAATTGACAAGTTTGGAGAACCCTGAAATAATGTTAAAAAAGTTTGGTTGACCGTGTGGACAGATTACTTATTCTGATCCTTTTGGGTTCGGGGTATCCCAACATTTATTGGGGGGGTGGGGTGTACAGTGATTTATACACAGAGTCAGTCCTGGGATTCATAGCCCTCAAGTGGGGTTAACCCCTTTAAAAAAATAAAAGTGTGCAATGAATTAGTTGCATTTCCAAATTTGGAATTTAATAAAGAATTGGCTGGAAGAAATGTTGTCAACAAATATAGAAGTCAAACCGGAGTTTTTCTTATTGGGAATTATAGAAAGAAAATATAAGAAAGATACAATGATCTATTGCTGCATACGCTCACGGCGGCACAGATAGCCTTCGCTCAAAAATGGAAAGAGAAAGATATTCCAACTGAAGAGGAAATATTACTGAAAATCTTTTAACTGCGCAGAAATGGACAGACTCACTTTGGAACTCAAGGATAAAAGCAAAACCAGGAAAATCCGGGAACAATTTTATGATTGGATAGATAACAAGAGGACAGCCAAGACAAATGTACAGTGTTAGAATAAAAATACAGATGTTATTATAGATAAATGTATGTTTAGAGATGAATAAATATATAGAAATAAGGGAAAAATTATTAATATTAGATTGTTTAAATAATGAACAAAGTTTCATTATAAAGTATATGTTTATATGAGTACTAATATTATTGCAAAGTGACGGAAGATGTTTGGAACCTGTGACGTCATATCTATGTCCAATTAAAATAATCCAGTGGCATTACTGTTTAAGAGCAGTATTTATCTTAGCAACTTTGAGATGTCTGGACTTCAAGTCCCAAAATTCCCCAGTCAGCCTAGCTGGCTCGCTGGGGAATTCTGGGACTTCTTGAAGCCCTGATCTTAAAAGTTGGAGAAATAATGGCTTAGCCTTAGGGAGATGAGTGAACTCACCAACATCATGGGTTAAGACCGTGATGGCGAACCTATGGCACGCGTGCCACAGATGCGTGCGCTGGCCAGCTGATTTTTGGGCCTTCTGGGCCCACCGGAAGTAGGGAAACAGGCTGTTTCCTGCCTCCGGAGGGCCTGGGGGGGTGGAGAAGGCCGTTTTCATCCTCCCCAGGCTCCTAGAAAGGCTCTGGAGCCTGGGGAGAGCAAAAAACAGGCCTACTGGGCCCACCGTGCCATCGCGTGCCAAAAGTGGGGGGAGCGTGGGGGGGTCACACATGCACGCGCCGGGGGGAAGAGCACATGGAATTATGGGTGCGCACATGCGCGACCCCTCTGTGCGATCCTTGCTTTTGGCATGCAATGGCAAAAAGGTTAGCCATCACTGGGTTAAGTAATAGCCCTCAATCTAATATTTCTGACTTTGAAAACTTTTCTTCCCAACTCAAGTTTCAAAACGAGTTTTCTTCACCAACACCAACCAGTCTAGGAACCAAGATTTATTACTTCCAAATACAGTTATCATCCAGTGTGCTCAAATTGCGTAACAGTCAGATCGGATGCCCGCCCTCCAACCCCACCCCAAAGATGCAGAGATGGTGAGAAAAATCACCCAGATGAGTCCAAGAGAAAAGAAACACACCCAAAACAGAGAAGACGGGCTGTTTTTTCAAACCAATCTGTGGCCCGAAAGAGTCCAATTTCTGTGTCACCCCTCCATTGAGATCGGAGGGCCAGTGAGGAGATAAAAAGTGGTTTGTCCCGAGATCTTGGCACAATCAGGTAAGGAGACCAGGAATCCTGGATCGGGTCTCCGTCACTCGATGAGTTTTTTGGCCTTGAAAAACCGTCGTAAATAGAACACCTGCCAGGAAGCTAAGCTGACCAGACACAGCATGGAGAAAATGCTAAAGTAGAAAACTCGAGTGCTGGTGGATTCTGCAAAAAGAAAGTAGACGAAGGATCAACAACACGGCGGATGGCAGTTACGAAGACCGTGGTGACTTTAAGACTTCTGGGACTTCAACTCCCAGAATTCCCTAGCCAATGTGACTGACTGGCTGAGGAATTCTGGGAGTTGAAGTCCACAAGTCTTCAACCGGCCAACTTTGGGGACCAAGCATAGCTGGCTGAGGAATTGTGGGAATTGAAGTCCACAAGTCCACAACTGGCAAAATTTGGGGACCAAACATGGCTGGCTGAGGGATTGTGGGAGTTGAAGCCTGCAAGTCTTAAACTGGCCATGTTTAACTTCTGGTCCTGAATGCAGCCAAATCATCATTGGCTTCACCACTGTTTCTTCGCAGACCTTTAACTAGGATACTCACCCAACATGCTAAATTGGACTACAGAGATAGTCCTCGGCTTACGACTAAAATTGGGACCGGATCTTCTGTTGTTAAGTGACGGGATTGTTAAGTGCGTTAAATCAATCCTCCGACAAGTGACTATCTAGCTCAGTACTTCTCAACTGGAAGACATGTGGACTGCAAACTCCCAGAATTCCCCAGCCAGAATACTTTAATATGAGTGGAACTTCGATTCCCAGAATTCCCAACCAGCATGCCTTAAGAGGGATGGATTTCAACACTCAGAATTTGCCAACCAGCATATTTCACATGAGACCTAAACTCCCAGAATTCCGCAATCAAGGTTGAGAAACTCTAATCTAGCCTGTTTGAAGGAGAACTGGCAGATGGCTCATACGGACAATAACTGAGGTCTACACTGAATCGCCTTGTTTGTTAACCCCAAGTTGTCAATCTAAGTCAAAACATGCTGGTGGGGGGGATTCTGGGAGTTGAAATGTGCCCATCCTCAGGCTGCCAAGATTGAGAATCTATGATCTGATGAGCCGTAGTGGCTTAGTGGTTAGAATGCAGTACTGCAGGCTACTTCTGCTGACTGCCGGCTGACTGCAATTTGGCAGTTCGAATCTCACCAGGCTCAAGGTTTGACTCAGCCTTCCTTCCTTCCTTCCTTCCCTCCTTCCTTCCTTCCTTCCTTCCTTCCTTCCTTCCCTCCCTCCCTCTGACATTCTCCCTGTGGTTAGAGTGTCATGTTTCAGGCTAACTCTGCCCACAGCCAGCAGTTCAATCTTGACTGGCTCAAAGTTGACTTAGCCTTCCGTCCTTCCGAGGTCGGTAAAATGAGGACCCAGATTGTTGGGGGCAATGGGCTGACTCCGTAAACCGCTTAGAGGGGGCTGTAAAGCACTGTGAAGCGGTATATAAGCCTAAGTACTATTGTCCTTCCTTCCTTCCTTCCTGTTAGAATGCAGGCTTACTCTGCCCACTGCCAGCAGTTCAATCCTGACCGGATCCAGGTTGACTCAGCCTTCCGTCCTTCTGAGGTGGGTAAAATGAGGACCCAGATTGTTGGGGGGCAAGAGGTTGGCTTAAACCGCTTAAGAGAGGGCTGTAAAACACTGTGAAGCGGTATATAAGTCTCAGTACGATTGCTATTGGTATCTAACCCTTGTTAGAAGGAAAATTGATTGGTGGCTCATATCGACATATAGCTTGAATCTCCTTGCTCTTTAACTTCAAGTTTACAATCAGAGTCAGTGCATGCTGGCTGGCTGGGGGATTCTGGGAATTGAAGTCCACACAGTGTCTAAGGCTAGAGAACACCAAGTTTTGGCTTCCCTGGGAGTTCAGAAGAACTAGAGAAGGTTGGAAACAAAGAGGGGCAGCGGATGCAAAGGTGGTACGTTCTGCCGTTTTTCTTGGAGTCAGCTGTCCAGAAAAGCACCGGTTCAAATCCCCAATGAGAAAGTCCGGCCTCACCGTTGGTATCGCGCATCTCCTCTTCCCGTTTTTTCATGAAGGCGAAATCCTTGACGATGGACTCGGAAAGGTCCTCCAGGCGACGGAGGTCGATCTCCAACGGTTTCAACTTCTCCGCTTTGGCGACCTGGCAGAAAAACCAGAGTTTGGCGGGGGAAGAGGGGACGAGTGACCTCATGTCTGCAGTGACATCATCACGCTTGTGATGTCATCCTGATCCCTCCCAGGCGCCAACAGGGAGAAGTGAAGCTAAGTAGCGCCACCATTAACGGCTGTCGTCACATCGCACGCCTAATCAAGTTACCAGTCCTCAAAGGATATTTCTGTAACATGGTGAACAACTGGATTTTTTTCCCCCCACAAACGAGCTTATCCACCTCAAATTATGGCCATAATTGGGATCAAAGTTTCCTTTGCTAAGCAAGGCGGTTATTAAGGGAGTCGTCCCCCATTTTACGACCTTTTTTTTAACCATGGTTGTTAAGTGAATCCCTGCAGTTGTTAAAATGAATTGTATGGTTGTTAAGTGAATCTGGTTTCCCTCACTGACTCTGTTAAGTTATTTGATGATGGGCTGCACTTTGCAAACCTAGAAAGTGAGTTAATTGGGCAACCGTGTTAATTCTGTGGTTTGAATGCAGCCTGTTATCTGAACTTAACAACATTCACAGCTACAAAAATTTGACTTACGTTTTCATAATTCATAGCTTCTACCCCATGTTTAACATTGAGGGTGACCAGTTGGTCCGGCAGCCGGAAATTCCCTGGAAAAATAAAATAAAAGGAAAGGTTGGGTATAGGATGAAAAACACAAGGAGAAAAATCCCATTAGTTATACAGGCAAGTTTGGTCCCTCAGAGGTCAGCAACCTGCGGCTCTGGAGCCGCATGTGGCTCTTTCACCCCTCTGCTGCGGCTCCTTGGCACTCAAAATATGCGTCACAACCGCTAATGTGTGACACCCACCGGCACACGATTTATTGAGCTTTTCAACCCCCGGTAGGTCAACCATGGATAAATCCAAGAAAAGAAAAGTTTCAGAAGAAAACAGAACGTTTAATTCGACTACATATGCTAGTTTTGTGGCCGCTCAAGAAATAAGTCAGGCACGGGAAGGGTTTTGTGACTCCCGGTGTTTTCTTTTCTGTGGGAAACGGGCCCAAATGGCTCTTTGAGTGTTTAAGGTTGCAGACCCCTGGCCTAACCTAAGCCATGATTCGTTTTATTGAAATGGCTGGGTTCTCACAAGGTACTAAGTGACCAATCGTGGTTTACAAATTACAGTATGTGATTTTACTCAATATAGGAAAGCCAAGCTAAGAAAGCCTACTGCAGCTTCGTTACGTTCTTATTAATTACCGTATTTTTCGGAGTATAAGACGCACCTTTTTCCCCCCTAAAAGAAAGTGGAAATGTTGGTGAGTCTTATACACCGAATATATAGCCATTTTTGGCCTCCTGAAGCCCCGCCCCGCTCGTTCCATTTTTGCGAAAAACAGGCCCGTTTTTCACCCGAGTTTCCCCAAAACCGGGGCTGTTTTGCCCTCCCCCAGCTCCCAGGAGCACTCTGCAGGCCTCTCAAACCCTCTGCGCGCCTCGTTTTTCACAAAAACAGGCAAAAAACAGGGCACGCAGAGGGTTTGGGAGGCCTGCAGAGTACTCCTGGGGGCCAGGGAGAGCAAAAACTGTTTTTTTTCTTACTTACCTCTTCGAAATCTTGGTGCATCTTATACACCGGTGCGTCTTATAGTCCAAAAAATACGGTATATTAATAGTAATATAAGGTCTCAATAGGTGGATAAAAAGGCCAAATCCAGTCAACTTCTGGCTGACTGTGCAGCGAACCATTGATAATAATAATAATAATAATAATAATGAATATGTTCTTACTATTCTTAATATTTTCAATGTTCTAATGTAGTAAGCGAGGTTAGCTAAACATAATAACGGTAATAATAAATTAATAAATATAAATAAAGAAAAAAGCTGGACAAAATCCTAAAATACAAAGATTTGCATCTAGAAGGACTATGGCTAAAGAAAACAAAGTTAGAATCAACAGTGATAAGCGCCTTGGGTGCAATCCCAAAACATCTGGAACACTACTGGCATTGACAAGATAAATCCCCATCAGTCAATTGCAAAAGGCAGGTTGGGTTGGGACAGCTGACCTTTAATATTATTCAACAACAAATATCAAAAGTCCTAGGGAAAAGATTTGATAGATGGATAAAAATGCCCTTCAATTTAAACATCTGGCTGACTGTATATGTAAACCATAACAACTGTAATAATAATGGGGTCCAGTTTTTCTCTGAAGCCTCTTTCAACCCCGAAGCAAAATAAGAAACCTTCAAAAATAAACCTAAAGTAAAAAATGCCTTTGGTCAAACAGGAACGAAGATATTTTAAAATAATCAAAGTAAATTTCCTGACTTTGGGGGGCAAATCCCATTTAACCACGTCAGTTAAAAAGTTTCCTTTTTTCCCGTTTTTGCCTTTGCACAACATATTTTACAGTCATTTGACTTTTTTAATCTTAGCTTTGGGACGATTTAGGGGGCTGCGAGATTCAATGTGTTTGCTTTAGCTGACCATTCCAAATATATATATATATATATATATATATATATTCACACAAATTTTGGGAAAACTCACAAACGAAGTAAATAATTAAGTGTCCAATCACACTTGCCCAATAAAGAATTCTATTCTAATTTAAAGTTTGTACTTGGGAGTAAAAAACCACACATAATCTATTGTATCTTTCGCTCTCTTCCCAAAGTGAAGACCCATCATCATCGCCCAGCTGCAGGAAGGCCCTGGATGGGGACGATGGGACCTGTAGTCAAGACAGCTTGAATGCCCGCACCTGGCTGTCCGTGACTCTGAAAGCAAATCTCGTAGACTTCGTAATCCTCCGTGGTGAAAGCGAATTTCCCCTTCTTGGCTTCCTCTCTGGAGTAGAGCAGGTGTCCGGCGGAGTCCGTCACCTGCGGGGCAGAAGGAGAGAGAAACCCCCTGAGCATGCACAGAGTGCAAAAAGTAGATCAGCAAGAGTTTGCAGAGCTCAGGTGGGTGCATTAAGGATGGGAAGACCCCCCCTTTGTGCAAAGAGGTTAGGGAGGAGGAAAGGATGCCCCATACCTTTAAGTCTGTCCGGATACCCGGTGCGGCCGCTTCGGACACTTCGAACTCTCCCGTGACCATCACATCCCGGTGCAGCTCCTCTTTCAAGCACTTGCGGCTCAACGGGGGCAGGTGGAAGGAGAGCCCCCGGCAGCTGCCGGCAAACAGGGCCAGCAGCACGGCCCAGGGACCCAGCAAGGCGGGCAGCCACATGGGAACGGTGCAAAAGGGAGACCCTCGCCTTCCCCGGTGCTGATATGGGGAGGGGTCTCCAAACGACCCCGGTGCTGATCTGGTGGTGGTGGTGGGGTTAATGCAACGACCCCAGCCCTTCGGGGCTCAGATCGCACCCAGAACCCGGGTTGGCACGTTCACACGACCCTCCTTGCCCGCTTCGCTTTCCCGGCGATCGCCTTCTGCACGGTGCAAACCTGCAGCTTCCCCAGGCGCGCGAGCTCCGGCTGGGGAAATTGTCCGAGAGCGCATGCGCCCCTCGCTTCTCCTCGCCGCGCCCCCTCGGGCTGCGTTTACCCGCGACGTGGCGCGGCCACCAGCTTCGTTCCGGGTTAGGGGCGGGGCCTCAGGAAGGACCGCCCCCTTACGAAAACCGGGGAAAGGGCCTGTAGGGAAGGGGCCGGTTTTCCATCCGTTTCCATCCCGGTGGAGCGCGGCGGGGTTTTGGGGAAGGGAGGGCGGGGATGAGGGGAAGGGAGGGGGCCGAGGCTGGGGGAAGGGGCGGTTTGACCCCCGGGGGGTTTCTTCCCCGCGTTATTTATTTCCCAAGCTGCGGAACTTTTCAGGTGTTGGACTTCAACTCCCAGAGTTCCTCAGTCGCCCGACGCGCCAAGGATTCTGGGAGTTGGAGTAAACTGGGAAGATTCCTTTTTTTTCTGGCCATGTACATTGTATATATTAGAATTATTAGGCTGTGTTTGTTTCTCTGTATCAAATAGGTGGGGTTATATTTTGTATTTATATATTCTGTCAGGGTTATGTAGTGTATATTGGAGGTGATGATGACTCTTTGAGAGCTGTATGATTAGTGTACATTCAATGTGACAAAGTATTCTATTCTCTATTCAATTCTAGTCTGTTATTATTATTATTATTATTATTTTTATTTGATTTATATGCCGCCCTTCTCCGGAGACTCGGGGCGGCTTACAATGCGTTAAGCAATAGCCTTCATATTTTTGTATATTTTATACAAAGTCAGTTTATTGCCCCACAATCTGGGTCCTCAATTTACCTACCTTAGAAAGGATGGAAGGCTGAGTCGACCTTGAGCCTGGTGAGATTTGAACTTGCAGTAATTGCAGGCAGCTGGTGTTAATAACAGTGCTTTAGTCTGCTGCGCTACCAGGGCTCTATTTTATTCTATTCTTCCATTCCATTCCATTCCATATACTATTCTATTCTATTCTATTCTATTCTATTCTATTCTATTCTATTCTATTCTATTCTATTCTTACTTTATTCTTCTATTCCATTCCATTAAATTCCATTCCATATATTATAATTCTATTCTATAAATGTTATATAATTCTATTATAATTCTATTCTAATTATTCTTATTCTATTCCTATTCTAGTGATGGTTAACCTTTTCCGGGCCGAGCGCCTAAAGCGCGCATGATTATGTATGCGTGCGCCCGAAGCCCCAAAATGCAATGCGTGTGTGGCCCCTGCACATGCACCTTGCATATCTGTGCCCCCCTACGCATGCACACACCCCACATGCGGCCCCCGCGCATGTGTGTAGCCCCAACGCACGCCCCTTCTCCCCGTGCATGCGTGGCAGAGACTCTCCCCCATGGCTGGCTGGGGAATTCTGGGAGTTGGAAGTCCACCTGTCTTAAAGTTTGCCAAGTTTGAGGAAAAACCTGTTTTATTTATGTTTTTGAAAACCTAACCCAGCTTGCAACCTGCAAATGCAGGCCCCGAGCCTTGGAAAGCTTTTGGGGTGAACCTCTCCCCACTGTCTAGGCCAGGAAGAAATAAAAAAGAGTTAACAATCTCTGTATTTTGTCCAGGGTCTCTGTCCTGATGACGAGGCATTTTCACAAAAGAGTGAAACTCTTTGACTCTTGGGTTAAATTCCGATCTCCCCCAGTCTGCTCTTTCCCTTCCCTTCGGTTTTCAAGCCCTTTCCTCCCAGTGTTACCAAATTCCCAACCGCTGCAACCCCAGTGGGACACGGATCGTGACCAGGGATGGGCTTCAAAAATTTTAGCAAGGGTTTGAAATTGTAGTTGGTGTGTCTTTGGAATTCGTTCTCTTCTTGGGGTTGTTTCCTTTAATTTGAAGCCCCCATTTCGACTCTTCCTGCATTTGTAGTCCATCAGTTCGTTCCTTATATATTGATTCTGTCTGTAGAGCCAAAACTTGTCAAAATATTTATCAACCTGCAGTAAGGAGTCTTCTTGCTGTTTCTCAATTAATTGAATGGAAGCCTCTTCCAAAACCTCTGTTTTCGGTACAATAACCTCCATTTTAGCCCCAACAATGTCTCTTTTATTCTCCAAAGGCACATTATCCTGATTAATTTCTTCCTCTTTTCCAGCCTCGGACAATTGGTTGCTGGGTGGGCGTGGGCGTGGTGGCCGTAGCCTACTCAACCTCCTGAACCATGGCAGCCCCCCCCCCGGTGTTTTTGCCCTCCCTGTGTTCCAGAGGCTTTCCTCGAGCCTCCGAGGGCAAAAAAGGCCTCCCCAGGCTCCAAAGGCCCTCTGGAGGCTGGAAACGGGCCCGTTTCCGGCTTTCCCGAACTTCCAGTAGGCCCATTTTTCGCCCTCCCCGAGCCTCCGTGTCGCACTTACCTGCATCCAAAACGGGCCGCATGAGGACTCCTGGGAGGGGTGAGATGGGCGGGGCCAGGCACGAGTGGGATTTGGGGGTTCTCCAAACTGCACAGAATCTTAGCTAGAGGTTCTCCTGAACCCCTGTGAACCTCCAGCAGCCCCACCCCTGATCGTGAATTGGTGGGAGGGGCAAATCAAACAGAAGCCCGCAAACTTTAGAAAAGTTAAGCTTTATTCAATTCCTAGCGTGATGGCAATTCTCCCATTTCTGAAGGTGATTCGGAGAGAACAGCAGATGTCAGGAGCAGTCGTTGGGAAGAGGGGAGGAGAAAACCCAGGCCCACCCGCCCTCCCACCCGCCCTGTAGCCTTAACTTTCCCAAAAATGAGCATCTGCGCGAGTCAGCTCCAGCAATTCCCGCTCGAGGATCTCGGCATCTTCGGAGAAGCGGTCGGAGAAGGAACGGATCAGGCCCCCGGCGCTAGATTCATACTGAGTCAGTCGGACTTTGCCACCTGGGCGAGGAAGGGGAGAGAGTGAGGGACCAAGTCAGCCGGCAAAAATGGCAAAATTTATTCTGTCCCCAGTTCTCCGATTAAGATTATAATTCCCACCCACCCCCCAATCGTCTTTTCTCCTTGGCTGCGGACTCCAAAAATTTACCTGGGGACAATGTTTTAATGCAAATAGCAATAGCACTTAGACTTATATACCGCTTTACAGTGCTTTACAACCCCTCCCTAAGCGGTTTACAGAGTCAGCCTATTGCTCCCAACAATCTGGGTCCTCATTTTACCGACCTTGGAAGGACGGAAGGCTGAGTCAACCTTGAAGGAAGGAAGGAAGGAAGGAAGGAAGGAAGGAAGATAGCAATAGCACTTAGACTTATATACCGCTTCACAGAGCTTTACAGCCCTCTCTAAGCAGTTTACAGTCAGCCTTTTGCCCCCAACATCTGGGTCCTCATTTTACCCACCTCAGAAGGACAGAAGGCTGAATGAACCTTGAGCCTGGTGAGATTCGAACTGCCAAATTGCAGGCAGCCGGCAGGCAGCTGAAGTCACCTGCAGTACTGCACTCTAACCACTGCGCCACTGGGAAGGTCGCAACTGGCAATTAAATGACCCCCCGCGGATGCTGTGACGGTCGTAAATGCGAGCCAAATGGCTGAACTGCAATTAGGTGTCCCTTCCTGAACAGAGATTAGCTCTAAATCCCTTTATACACCGGAAATCTTGGGAATATCCTGATTAAGAGCTTTGAGGTTTTACATACCGAGTGAAATCAGTAAAGAGATTTACTGATGAGAGAGAGATGGTGAGAGATCGTAAACCAGGTTCAAACCCTGGCCTTCTTACCCTCCAGCGTGGTGTTGGCTTGGACGAAGAGCTTCCGTGCTTCCTTGCGTAAAAGCACCGTGTCACGTAAGCTTCGGAAGCGTTCCGGTTTGTCGTCCGTCACGGCTGAATAAGCTTCATAAAGCTTCCGGCCGCCTTCGACGTCAGCGGTCGATTTCAGGATCTGTAAAGAAAGGAAAAATCTTGCTAAAATTATCACTTTTAACTACTGTATTTTTTGGAGTATAAGATGCACTTTTTCCCCCCTAAAAGAGGGTGAAAATTTGGGTGTCCTATACACTGAATGTAGCCCCGCCTACCCAAGCCCCCAGAAAATGGGGCACGCGGAGGCGGCAATAGGCTATGGCAATCCCTGCAGCCTGAAACAGCTGATCTTCGGGAGGCCGATCCATCCGACAATCAGCTGCTTGTGCTAATCAGGCTGTGCTGAAGCTGAAATGGGCTGTTTGTTGCAAGGAGGCAAATTGCTTTTTTCTTTATGTACGCTGAGAGCATATGCGCCAAATCCTTTGTGTTTTCCAATCACACTTGGCCAATAAAGAATTCTATCTATCTAACTTCACTTGCCAGAAGGTAGCAAAAGGGGGATCGCGTGACCCCGGGATGGTGCAACCCGGGGTCATAAATGTGAGTTAGTGGCTTAAGCATCTGCATTTTGACCAATGGGAGACGAAAATGAAAAACACTTGTCACTTTATTCAGTGCTGTTGTAACTCTGGACAGTCACTAAACGAACCGTTGTAAGTCGAGGACTACCTGTATACCCGACTATTGTTTTTACAAATAACTCCAACATATCTGACGCATTTTCTTTCTCCTATTTTCCCCACAACACCACCTTTGCGTTCGGGGCTGAGAGATTAACTAGCCCCGAACTAGATTTCACAGCTAGGGCAGGACTTGAACTCACAGTCTCCTGCTTTCTCTAGCCTAATGCCTTAACCTCTAGACGAGGGGCGTCAAACTTGATTTCATTGAGGGCCGCATCAAGGCTGTGGTCGACCTCGGAGGGCCAGGCGGGCGCGGCCGACTGAGTAAGCGTGGTCAGCTTGACATCACTCACTGGGTGTGGCCAACTGGGTGGGCGTGGCCAGCTTGACGCCACTCCCCAAACTGCTGGCATGTTTCCTCTTTGCATTGGGGAGACTGGGCCGAAGCAACGCCGGTAGACCGGGCCGAAACGACACGGGACGGCTCCTTATATTTTCCAGGATGGTCCTAAGGGAGGGAAGATAGCCTCACTTACTTGCAGCTTCCGGAGAAAACGTTCCAGAGCTGGTTTTCCCACGGTGGTGATCTTGGTGCGGTCCAGCAAGACAACCGCGTCGGGTTTGCCGTCGGTCCCCGTGGTGTGGTGCAGGGACACCAGTCCCTCGCCAGCCTCCAGCAGCACTCTTAAAATCACGAAGCGGGCTTGCATGTGAGCCTGGAGAGAGAGAGAGAGAGAGACACGAAGGGACGTCAGGAGGGAAGCCGAGAGTCGTAACGGGCGCGAGGCGCTTTTGCACGCTCCCCTCTCTTGCAAGACTGGAAAGTAGAATCAGCGTGCTATTTCCAAGAGAGCAAAGGCAAATTCCAGATCTTCTTTAGGGGTTCAATGTTGGCAATCAACTCCCAGAATTCCCCAGTCAACAGGCTTTAAGGTGGATGGACTTTGACTCCCAGAATTCCCCAGCCAGTATGCTTTAAGATGGGTGGACTTCAACTCCCAGAATTCCCCAGTCAGACATGCTTTAAGATGGGTGGACTTCAACTCCCAGAATTCCCCAGCCAGCATGCTTTAAGATGAGTGGACTTCCATTCCCAGAATTCTCCAGCCAGCATGCTTTAAGATGGGTGGACTTCCATTCCCAGAATTCCCCAGCCAGTATGCTTTAAGATGGGTGGACTTCAACTCCCAGAATTCCCCAGTCAGACATGCTTTAAGATGGGTGGACTTCAACTCCCAGAATTCCCCAGCCAGCATGCTTTAAGATGAGTGGACTTCCATTCCCAGAATTCTCCAGCCAGCCTGCTTTAAGATGGGTGGACTTCCATTCCCAGAATTCCCCAGCCAGCATGCTTTAAGACGGGTGGACTTTCAACTCCCAGA